TCTTGGATCGCGCATGGACTCGGACCGTACACTGTACCGGTCGATGCGTCGTGTGGCAGGAGATCGGCAGTCGACGATGGCCCGAGGCCGCCACCATCATCGCCGCTTGCGACGCCATCATGCAGCGACCGGCGAGCAACCGGCGACCGGCGAGCAAGCAGCGAGGACGACGACGACGCGCCAGCAATGGAATCAGCAGCGGTGGACGATGGCGACGAGCGGTGACCGCGCTGCCAGGACTGCACGTGGACGTCGCCTGACGCACCGACGAACGCCATAGCACGCGCCATGCATTCGTCTAGAGACTGGACCAGCGCTGCTTGCGTTGGAGCCCATGGAGCCGCCACGCTTTGGCCCGATTTTGGCATTTTTGCCGCCAACTTCAAGTGTTGCAGTCAGTGGGGTTGCAGTCGTCGAGGCTTGGTAAGGCATCGATCTCGGCGGGCCGCGCTCAGGACCTCGCGGTGATGCATGGACTTGTGCATTATATCGCCACGCACTGTCGACGAGCCCGGCAAAGACTCTGGTCGCCATGGGTTCCGAGTCCGTTGCAACGTTGCAGTCGGGTCAAGCTCGCGCTTCCAGTGCGTAGAATTGGAAGGGTGATTGGCCACACACAATACAGTACACGGCTCTCAAAGAATACTCTACAAGGGTCGAGCGTTTGCGAGTATATTTATCATGCGCGCGCTAAAGTGGAAAGGCGACATAGCGTGTCGTAAGTGCCCAGAACACTCGACGACGCCCATAAAAGCTAATGCACCGATCCTTCCCGCAGAGAGCTTCGAGTAAGAAAGTACCGGGTATCTACCTCGTATCGATGCGTTGATATACCACGAGCCGCGAGAGAGACGACCATGGCCTTTTCTCTGAGCTCCGCGGACTCATACCCTACCCCTGATTGAATCGCGTCGTAATTGTTGAAGGACCGCGCGTTTGCGGGCTTGCGCCGGTACGACACGAACTTTGTTTAAGTGCTGTCGTCGGTCGATGTGCAGAGTAGCCATGCGTGCAAGACAGAGATGAGAGAATCCGCGTGGCCCATCATAATTGCTTGCGACCGTGAGGAGGACGACCAGGGCAATCACGTCACCCGCTGCGATATTGTAACGTTAGAATCTCATCCAAAATTCGCGCGACTGTTATTAATAATCGCCTGTGGGCTAGCATAATGGTGGGCTGGCGTCACCAGGAGGTTCCTACCAGTATCCTTCTGGCCACCCCAGCCTTTAATTGGGACGGTCATTTAACCCTCCGAATGAATGTATCTCTAGCTGTGCCACAAGCACTACCGGTACCGGTGCCACAGATGAGCACGACGTGGCACTGCCTATCCGGATACGTAGTCACGGCCCAGTAAGCGAGCCAAGAAGACTAGTCTCGACGTGCGCGACGGCTTGACAGCACAAAGATGACGCGTATTTGAAGCGCACAAGTCTCGTGGCGGGAACTCATATGGTGCGTTTAGACATGTGCTTTCACTGGTATTGAATAACGCGACGGTCAACAATTTGGATAAAAGCACACATCCTAATTGTCTACAACGTTGGCGCGAGGACTGCCTGCTTCTGCCCAAGAGTATAATGTCTACTACTTTATTACGTACCGTGTGTTTCCACTCGAGCACGACGCCGTGTAGACCTCGTGTGTGGACAATTGGGAAGCTGAGACGAGCTCCGACGACGAACTTTAACAGCATACACGGGCGCGCACGCTTGCTACTACGTGCCTTGACTGTGCGATTGCCGCATCGCACAGTCAAGATCCGTTCCGTGCAATGCAAGACGTCTCGTCGTTCGTGCAAAAGGTGCGGTTGTGTTTGGTTTGACACAGAGCACGAGTAATAAATCAGATCTCAGTGACAAGGAAGGTTTGAAAGGCATGCGAATGTCAGTAGTGTCGTCTCGTGGTTATAATAGGACGCAAGCTTCACACGTTGGAGATCGAGGGCTCGATCCCCTCTACTGGTATGCTTTGCACGCAAATGAAAGCAGCCACAACCAAGGCAGGCGTGTTCTGCCGCGCAATGCATCGATCCTCCGACCTTCGGTCGAGAGCTGACCAGCAACGCCCCCTTGGTGCCGTGGGCTCTGTTGATTTTGAAAAAAACTGCGCTTTCGTGCCCTCGAAAGAGACATCATACAACTAGGCGGCGCGACGAGACGACGCACTCGACTCCAATGACGAGTTATCCACACCAGTCCACGCTGCGTTGCGATACACATCGCGATCCAAACGACCGTGTCCATGGCGTGGACACGCACGCATGGGTGCGCCCGCCGGTCTTGTTCCTCTCTCGAGACCCTGTCGACGCCCGGCGCATTCTTTGAGTGTCGCCCATGCTCGTGCTTGTGCGCTATACATGTCAAATCTGCTCGCAAGGCGAAGTGCACGTGAGTGGAATGGCCAAGAGAACAAAGCTGTAGTGAGTGGAATTGGTCGTTTTGTTTGAAGACACTACGATCTTACTTTGACTGCGGCTCGTTGAGAAGGAACGCGACGCGGAGACGAAGGTCCAGCGGCGCCACAGCAGTTGCCTCTTGACGGGCCTTGCGCCGGAAGTACTTTTCACGCTGGCGCATGCGCTCCCGGTCCTTGTTGTCGCCGTACGTAGCGCGCAACTTGGCGAGGACGTCGTCGCGGTGCTCGTAATAGTACTTGAGCGACCGGGACCGCGGGCTCTTGGGCGTTGGGCGACGCAGCGTCTCGTCGACCGTCGGTCCGTCGCAGATGCCCATGAGTGTCGCCGTTTGGCAAAAGCAAAGTGAGAGCGTAAACACAATCCAAAACTACGTTGCGTGTTCGATCGCCTTCCCAGCGAACACCACCCGATTGATTGCCAAGAGGACGCACAACAGCACCAAATCCGACGAGACTGCCTGCATTGCACGGACCTGGCAACCACACCACCAAGCTCTACAAATCCAGATGACGGACTAAGACGACCGTACTACGTCGCTTCCAATGCGCCGCTTCAATGGTACCGCGTCGTGCAACATGCTCGACACACAGAGTCGACAAGTAATAGGAAGGAGCGAATGTACACCATCGCACTGCCGCACCTCCGTCGAATTCGTTCAAGGTCAACGGCAATATCATGTTGAGCGTCTCGTTGAAGTCGACGGTCGGGCGACGCGGGCTCGTCTCAGCGTTTGACTCGAGTGCAAAGTCGACTTTAATAATCGGCTGTTCGCGCACTGTATTGTGGCCCAAGGACGACGACCTACCACGTGCGAATAGCATACCATCCTCCTGCGATCTTGCCCTCTTGCCTCTCGCACGCGGTCTCCTTGAGCGGCGCCGACAACAAAGTTGCGTTTTTTCTCGTCCCGCATGTACACATCCACGACATCACGCACGACGACCCGACACGTGTCTGAATGCACGCAGTATTCGACGTGGCCGTGCAGATTGCCTCGGCGGCGTCGTCGCATTCTCGTAGGTATTATATATAATAAGATATGACTGGTCTCTACTACTCTAAGCGAAGAGCGCGTGGAGCGCTTGCTGCTGCGTCGGCGACATGGACGACCACACGGCCTGCATGACGTGCGGCGGAATGAGCTCGCGGAGGCTGCGCAGCGCCATTTGAATGTCGTGGAGGACGTCGTCTTGGTCGGCAAACAGCTGCGCGGAAATCGACTCGGCCAGCACCGAAATGAGCGCCGGGACGTTGGTCGCGTCAAACACGATCCGGTGCTTGGACTGGATCGCGGCGCAGAGGCGCTGGATGACGGCCGCCGACTCCTCGAGGTCGCCGCGCATCGGGAGGAGGCGCAGCCACTGCGAGAAGAGCGT